TTACTTAAGGGCTGACTTGCACTGATCACTTCCAAAATATTTGGAGTCCTATCTGCTCTTTCCTACTTAAGCCACTTAAAAAGAAAAAAACTAAGCAACTTCAGAAAAGAAGAGGCTTCCAGGACTTCACAATTAATATGGCAAGGGCTCCTCAGTACTGCATAAAAGTTAGGGAAAGGAAATGAAGAGGACCTGCACACAAGAAGATAAAGTCAAATCCTGACTTTAAGAAAACAACACAAAGAAAGTCCCAGACTGCTAATGGGTCTAATGTTTCTTTGGGGGAGTATTTTAAAAGTAGGTTGTGGTGACACTGCCCACCTCTGCAGGTGCACTTAGGAGTCAGTGAGTTGTATTTATAAAGTGGGTGTATTTTATGGCATGAAAATTATATATTAATAAATTTGCCAAATCAGAAAACCCCTCAGATTTCTAGAAATGGCAGAGATCATAAAATGGACACAAGAAACAAAATTAAGGGAGAGACAATGACAATTTCACCTCCATAACACATTTATTCTAATATCTGTGCCAGTATATTTTAGAACACTCTCTTGAAGTTGAGGAGATAGATTATTCAGAATGATTCTCCCAGAGGGAGTCTGTTTTAGCAAATGAACAAAAATATTCCTCCTAAGTGTTCCCTTGCATTCTGGTATTAATGGCTTACTGATTTTTACTGGAATAGAATGCTGGGACTCCACACCAAGACAAAATGAAAGAACACTGAGATGTTGGTTGAAATTGAAATATCAGCAGAAGACACGCCAAGAGATATAATCACACAAAGAGAGTTGGGTGCTGTTCATATTTGTTAGAAGCAATAATGGCTGTTTTGAGAAAGAAAGTCAAATGGGTGATGTTAAAGACTGTTAGTACTAGCCAGGAGGGAAAAGCTAATCAAGATTGCCCACCTGTTGTTTCAGAACTAGAATTCGCCCACCACCTCCTCTCGTCCTCAAGGGACCTACAATGCTTCCCTTTTCTAATTTTCATAACAAGGCTCCACAGGCCAGCAGAGATACTGCTAATTGTTAAACAGCCAGAACCATAAAGCTCGGCAAGTCCAGAATGTATAAATGGCACACGATCCTCTTTAAAATGTCTGGAATTAATGTTTCTAAATGTCTAAATGAATGTTCCTATATTTTATAGCTCCCTTTCTTTTCTATTTTAGAACAGCTTTTTCACTAGGTATAAAACATCCTGATCCATTGGCAAACAGAAGGGGCTTTTAATCTCAAAGATAGCTTGATTTTCAAACCTTATTTAGAGGATTGCTGATCTTCCAGACAAACTGCTACCAAATAGCTAATTACCCTCAAATGTCTGAGTATAATATATTACAAAGAAACAAAGAGCATTGGACATATTATATTTAATAAAATTATTATTAAATGTGACATCAAATATTGTCAGACATCTAAAACAAATATTCTTTGTCTTATCTCAGACTTGACCTCCAATTCAACATATTTGGCCAGGGGAAGACTTAGGAGAGATAGAGCGCAAGTACTTTCAGTAAGTATACTGATAATACTGCCATAGTCGACAGCATCTTAGTAAACACAAAATTCACCTGTCTGGTAGCAAACATAATGTTCTTATTCCCTGCAGATAAAGGAGTTTTTAGAATGCATTTAGACAGCTTTAAAAGTTTAAGTGAATATCTAAACTACAATTTTTTACACTTTCCTCTCTACAGTGAAACTTGGCATTTATCTTGCATATCTAGTGATTATGAAATTTCCTTTAGAAAGTAGAAAATAACATTTTTCTTAAATTTTCCCACAGTTTTCTGCATAAAATGGGCTTTAATTAAATAGAAATTATTAATTTATTCATACTTGAAATTCTTTCATGTTATATTTTATTGTATTGTATATCATTTAAGATTATTTACTTCTCAGGGAATATCAGGTATTACTCTCACATGTGAAGATGGAAAAGGGGACTTCAGAGCAGTCACACAATTCCAGAGTCACGCATTTTAATTTTTTTCATATACATTGGTATATCACATTCTCTATGGGTTTTACACCTTATAATGAACTAAATTTTCAAGGACTTACTATTGGAGAATTGTATATCTTTGAGTTCATTTCCCCTAGCATATATTCTTTTTTGATAGCCACACAGTGAGAATTTCGACTTAGGTAAACAAGGTACAGGGGTCTAAGCCAATTAGCACCATCCAGGTGCAGCAATTTGTTCAACAATGGACACCTGTGCTTCATTCAGAGCCCATTAACTGCTGTATGGATATGTACTGGGAAAAGAATTCTGAGTCTAGAGGAAATTTGAGTGAGGATGGAGCCAACCCAGAGGAGGTGAGATTGAGAAGTCAAGAAGAAGAAATATGATTTAGGTGATACAAAGTTGCTTAGATAATAAGATATTTTCACATAAATTGCTCTTTGTCATATTATATGGCGTGTGATCAAAATATATGGTAAAGGGTTAAATTAAACATGTTTATTCGAATAAAAGACACAGTACCATTAGTCACTCACAGAATACTACCCCTTGCTTCAAACACACTTAACCCATCTTTCATGCCACTTTCTGAAGCAGTTCTGGTAAGTATCTTTTGTGAGTGTCTTGAGTTGTGCTATTGTGGCTACCTCAATGGCCCGAATTCAGTCAAAACTTTTACCTTTCTTGTTCACTTCAACTTTGGGGAAGGGCCAAAGACACACAGTACCAGACCCAATGAATAAAGCAGATGAGGACATACTGTGCTAATTGATGAGCCTGCCTGTGCAGCGGATGGTACTTAGCAGCTGCATTCAGGACCGTCACTAAAGAGAACTTCAGAACTACTTCAGAAAGCAGCAAAAATTATGGGATGATTGTGTTCCTAGTGAGAGGGAGTATTTTGAGGCGTTTAATGGCAATGCATCAGTTACTGCAATAGATGTTTAAAAGTGTAAACATTCACCATATGTTTTGATCACACCTGGCATCTCCACAATAACTTCATGAGACAGGTAAATCACTCATAGGGTTCCCTACCTCACTCTTCTGAAACTAAGGCTTGAGGGAGTCAGGGATTTGGTCCATGTAGTATTGGCTACATAATTTGCCAGACCCAGCAAAAAATGAAATGGTGGGGTCCTTTGTTTAAACGTTACTGAGGATTCCAGATGGAGATAACAGTGTTAAACTAAGTCAAAGTCCTTCTGAGAGTGAGGATCCTACGTAACTTCAAAAAAGTCCCACAACCATGAAGCTGGCTCTCGGGCTATGTCACTCAGCAGATAGGCGGTACAGATGGTGTCTGAACTCAGATCTAAAAATCCCAAGTCCAAACTGCTCCCCTGTACAGTAAAGGGGCCACAAAAACATTTTTGATACTTCTATGTAGAATTTACTTAAAGTAACACCATAGTTTTATTTTGTATTGTTTATCAATTTCAAGTAAACACATACATGTATAATTAATTCACAGCAACATTTACAGTAGATTAGGGGTATGAACAATTTAAATTTCTTATGTATGTTATATTTCTTCGGGCAACATGAGGAAGTACTGCCAGAAGTTTATTGAGCTAGCTATATAGCACATTTTTTACTTTTCAAAAAAGTAGAACAGGAAAACAAATCATAGTTCACATATGAAATTTTTAATCATTTTACTCGAAGTACTTGCCTTCTCCCTTGTCACCCATAATGCCCAGAAGCTTCATTTAAAAACAGGCAACTCTCTATGTCTTGTGAATTTTAAAAGATTAAGTACACTTTTATTTCCCACACAAAATTTCATATCTGAGTTACTTCCTTTTTTCATAGAAAAACATAGTCCTAACTATATCAAGTTCCGGTGCAATTACATTTTTTCCAAGTATCAAGCTCCATCTGCTGAGTTTTATTACTTAGCATCTCACATTCAAAAATCATTATATCTCATGAAAATATTTGGTGATATATGATAATGAAGTCATGAAAAAGGATAATTTTATATAACTTTTAGAAGTTGCATCATGTAGTTTTATATAACATCTGGGTTCCAGTACTCAATTTTTGATGAATTTAAAGAAAATAAAAAAACTCCCACAACAAACAGATTCACATTTAATCAGTGTAAAACAATCAGCACATAGTTTGCCAAGAATTATAACCTAGAAGCAAAGCTCAATGTAAGCTCTGCTTTCAACATTTGTGTACATGGTGACTACCCTACGCTATTTAATTGTCATTTATGTGAAACACAAGAGAACCTCAGAGGGGCATATTCCAACATAGCTCATATAGCAGAATGTTCCAAGTATATAAATCAATACATGGATATACATTAAGGACAATTTTCTAAAATTTTTAAAAATAACAATTTTTCAGGTACTGGGGATCAAATCCAATGTCTCACACATGTTTGGCAAAAATTCTATCACTGAGATATACCCCTAGAGTTTTAAGAAGTGTTTGTGTGTCTGTGGTACTGAAGAGTGAACCCTCAGGGCCTTTGTACTGAACTACATTCCTAGCTATGCTTTTTTCTTTTACCTTTCTTCCTTTCTCTC